TTAACCACCCACCATAACCATTCAGTACACTGCATACCTGTCGGGGTTTAACCCCAGCTGGCAACTAAGTACCACGCAGTCGCTCACTCACTCCTCCTGCCCCTGATGGGATGGGGAGGAGAATCGGGAAAAGGTAAACCCCGTGGGTTGAGATAAGAACAGTTTAATAACTGAAATAAAGTAAAATATAACCTAACAATAACAATATTAGTAATGAAAAGGGAGATAACAAAGAGAGAGAGAGGAATAAAACCCCAGACAGACAAGCCATGCACAGTGCAATTGCTCACCCCCCGCTGACCGATGACCAGACCGTCCCTGAGCAGCGATCCGCACCTCCCAGCCAACTCCCCCAGTTTCCATACTGGCCATGCCGTTCTATGGTATGGAATATCCCTTTGGCTGGTTGGGGTCAGGTCTCCTGGCCGTGCTCCCTCCCAGCTCCTTGTGTCCCTCCTCGCTGGCAGAGCACGGGAACTGAAAAGTCCTTGGCTGAGGGTAAGCCCTGCTCAGCAACAACTGAAACATCAGTGCGGTATCAACGTTATTCTCACACTAAATCTAAACCACAGCACTGTACCAGCTCCTAGGAAGAAAATTAATCCTATCCCAGCTCAAACCAGGACAACACCCAGATAAAACCTCCAGCTGTTCCCGAAAACAACAACTCATCAACAGAAGCCAGCACGAGCGCCTCAGGCAAACGCTTTGCTTTTGTGTTCGATCCCTGTTGACTCCAGCAACCCAAGGCCCCTTTCTGACCATCAGGGCTCGCAGAAGGTTTGGCCGCAGCTGAAAGGTGATTTTCTTCCCTGTGCTCCAAATTTTCACACCGTTTACATTGCTCTCAAATCCCACAGCTCATAAGTAAGTGCCAGGCTCCCGGCGTGGGTGCAGACCACTCGGGAGAGGTGGCCCAAGACAAGGGAAGGACCTGTTGCCATTGCTGCTCCCAAGGTTATCAAACAGATGTGGCCAAGCTCTCAGACTGAACGGGCTTTGCTATTACAACATTAATGCTGGTTTGCATGTTTATTCCCTTGCCCATTTCAAACTTCACTGAGCTGAACCTTAATAAACAGATATATTCTAAATGGATTTTTTGTTATTGTTGCTTTTTCCCCCCCCCTGGCCATTAAGGCTGATTATGTGCAGTCATCAGCTGTTTTGCTTTGTTTCCCATCTGTTCACACAGTACTTGGGTTCTGGGATTTTTCCCAGCGTGTGAGAGAGCACTGCAGATGGGAGTGCAATTTCCACCGTTTTGATTTTGCCCCAGTGGGGCTTCCTGTGGCCACTGGTGGAAAAATGACAATTGCAATGGTTTTGATTGAAGATTTTCCGTATTACTGAAACTTGCCAAATCTCAAGATTTTCAAGATCATGTTTTTGACTAGAACCAGTGGCAGTTTTTTTTTTTCTGAGAGGATTTTCAATCCTTTCCCCATCTACAACGCCTCCGTTCTCTGAAGTAAACAAGGACTCTTTTTTGAGAACAAATCCTGTGCAATTTGAAGTCACAGGGAAAAACCACCCCTGCCTGTAGTTGGGGAGAAGATAACGTCCTGATCCCGTTGCTGTTAAGGGGAGCAGAAATTGGAACCTAAAGAGACTTTGAGGGGCAATTCCAGTCTCCTGTGACCACTGGTAGCCACCTCATGTCAGACCTTTCACTCCTGTAGCAGTTAGGTTGTCATATTGACAAGCTCTTTCAGTAACTCATTCCTCTGATGACTAGCAAACCTACTCCTCTAATTTGCAGCCAAAGTATACTTTGGTGGGCTTATTCCCATTCAATCTCATGCCTAAATTGTCCTTTTTCTCTAATATCTGTTCTGTCTGTCCCCAGTTTGTATTCCCTTCGGTATTTGTAGAGAGCGATCATATCCATTTCAATCTTTTCTCTGCAAGGCTGAACAAACCACTGTCTTCTACAGCTTCTTGCTGGAAAAATCTGCTCTCTGCTCTCCTCACCCTCCTCACAACGCCCGGGTGAACTTATTTCAATGGACATGCATCTGTCCTCATGATGGGAGCCAAAGCACTGCTGTCGGTCCCAAAGCCAACATAAGGGCACGTATCTGCTCCAGCTTCACTCCCTCCCACTGCTGCTTGGTGCCACGTCTTCTCCTGGTCTGCATTTTGAGACTTATTTTAATTTTCAGATGATGACTTCAGTTCTTCCACTTTCATTTTCTAACATAGACGAAGTGGCTATAAAAGTATTTGGATCGGTTATTCTCTGATTCCATTTCCTAGCATTTTTCTGGTCACAGTGCAAGACTCCAAGCTATTCTAGCAGCATTGAGCTCCAAGATTAAGAAAGTTTTAACACAACGCTGCTCCACTGGCAGCTCCTGCTTGTGTGGCTTTACCGCAAGTGGCTGCGGAGCCGGGAGGAACAACCTGCAGCCCTGCACCTCGGCACGCAGCAGGACGGTCCGCGGGGAAGGGGGGAACAACCGCTGTGCCCCCAGCCTCCGGGGTAAATCCCCCTCCCCTAAGCACTGCCCTCCCCTGCAGCTAATTACTGGGCCGGTGAAGTCGCGGTGGTATCTGGGAAGTCAGAGAGGAGAAGACCCGTAATTTTTCAGCCAGGCTTTTCATCCTTAAATTACAGAAAGCCAAGAAGGCTCAGTCTTCATATATTTACCCCTTTCAGAGGAGCATAAGCACTAAAGAAAAGGTCAGCCACCTTTTTTTTTTTATGGTTAAACCCGACATTTCAGCATAGAAACACAAAATTACTGTGTTTACTCAAGAGTTTAAAGATTTTTAGGCTGTGAGTGGAGGAGGAGAGGAGAGATATTTAACGAAACTGCAAAATTGCTTTAATAAGGGCAAAAATGATCGGGCAATTGTGAGGGAATTATATTTAAGATGAAGACTAATGCTAGGAGATCACGTGTGCCTAGCATAAACCTCCCCGGAGCATCCAGGAATCTCAGCTATGGCCCAAGACTCTCGTTGTGTTAGAGATGTATGAACCTAAAGAGGCAAGGAGGGGGGAAATATAAAGACAGGTAATGCTGGTAGAAGTCTGTAGACCTTTTAATAGGCCTTAGATATAAACCTGGTCTAATAAATCTAATAAAGCAGGCAATTATGCTTCCTAAGCATAGGTTTTTACCTCAAGTTAGGCCAAACCATAATTTCAGGGGAAGATGAATCAAAGCAAACACTCGTAGGAGAAAAATCTGTTGAAGCAGTGAACTTTTCACCTCTAACAGCTAGTAATGACCACGGGGTACAAGATCAGATGGTTCACTTAACTGCCGAGTAACGAAATTAGGCTAAAAGTTAGATCTGGTCTGCCCAGAGGCAACATGACAAATTATATTCATCCACTTGCCGTATTTGTATTAATGCACTTTTGTATTAGTGAACAAATTATAAAAGAAGGCTTTGCCTCGAGGCAGGGTTTTCTGGCACTGAACTCATTTTCAAGCTGAGGTTCTCCCCTGAGGGCACAATAAGACTCTCCCTTCTTTGCAGCTGAGGATCTGATCCTCAGCAAAGATTTGCCTGTGAAGAGCTCTTAAGACTTTGGAGCTTTAAAAACTGCAAATTTCTTTCTATAATGCTCTGTAAATTGTCCACTCTTTATATATGTTTTAATAATAATGGAATATTTAGCTAGCATCTTTCTAAAATCATTCAGTGTGTTCCACTGGTAATATATATTAAAAAAAAAAAAAAAAGTTGTTTTAAAATCAGCTTTCTGGGACAAGCTCTGATTTAAAATCAGTTTTCTGGGACAGGCTCTGTAAACTCATCCTGGCTCCCAGTCTTGGCTGGCAGTCAGTAGTGAGAACTGCCATGAGATGGTGAGATGGCCACCTCTCTTCATGCCGTGGCTAGAACCCTGCAAAGAGTGGTAGCCCTGCGGTCGCATTGCCCTGTGAGTCTTGGGACTCAGAGCACTTAACGTCGGTTGTACGTGTGAGTGTTCCCAGCATGAGGCTTCACTTTTGCAGCTGCAGCAACGTGGCGTCCCTCTGACCTGGAAGGGAGCTGTGAATCCAGAATGCATTTCTCTTTCCTCTGCTGATGACAGACTTTTAAAACTAATTGCACGACATTCTGGCTTGTCTGTGTTGTCAGCTTTGATTTTGCTGTGACAAAATGATGGCCGCTCCCTGTCACACCGAGTGACGCCGCGTCCGTGAGCACCGCACTCATCAAGTGGCAGCAGTGAAGGAGAGCATCGCTGCGATCTGCACGCAAAGCCGTTTCGCGGCGGGGGAGGCGTGGGCACAAGTTTCCCCCCATCG